TATCAAAACCCACGTCTGAGTACGTTTTGGCGTAATTTATTTTCTATTGCCCTTTATTTCCGCACCCTTTGACAGAGTGAGGTCAGGGAGCGGCTACCCGTACCTTTATTCCGCAGAGAGGAGAAGACGCTCACCTCCGGTGGGGTCAGGGCTTAGCGGGGGGAAAGCGGTCCGTCTGAAATAACTCTGCGTGCAACAGAGAACTTGAATTTGTGTGGGTAATTTCTTCACAGTCCATCCAGACTTGCAGAGACAGAATTGTTACAGGATTAATTTTACACTCAGGCTTTTTCTTTTTTCTTTTTTTTTTTTTTCCCTTTCCTTATAGGTTGGGAATGGGTTAAATGGGATGAATTTCCTCCAGCAGATCAACTGTTCTGGGCCTTACGCTGTTTACGAGAGCAAGGTTACAATCCCTTTACAGAAGAGCTCGATCATCTAAAGGGGTACACGGGAAGTCACCAACTAGCGTAACGACTAACTGTACGTTAGGTAACGAACTAAAGGACAGACCTGCTTTTTTGGTGTAAAAGAGAAAAGGATATATCGTGCTCGCTCTGCCCGTGTGAAAATATTACCCTTCCCAAAGCCAAAAAGATGCCGCGTGTTTCAGTGCTTTTACCGTACTTCACACAACAGTTGTCTCTCATTCCAGAGCTCTTTCTAGCTCTAGCGGTTAACAATTAATGTTTTCTTTTATAGAAAACTCTCAGTGTTTTATCCGGTTAATCTCTATGTAGATGAATAGCCCTTGGGAAGTCAGAACTAGTCAGAGAAGCTTACTCACTCGGAAACAGTTGCAGCATCAGGCCCAAGAGAAACTCATTTGCTTAAACCGTTGTCCTGCTTTCTATGTAAAACTACTTTGTGTATCGTGCTGCTTTCCTGTCATCATAAATCTTGGACTAATTTTAAACTTACCCTTGTCTCATAGCTTCAGTGACGATACTGTCATGAACAAGAGTCCCATTTTACCGACAATGCCTCGTTCTCCTGCAGACAGTAGTGTATACTTGAAAAACAGAGTATTACAAACATGAAAAGGTTCTGGTGGCTTGGTGCAGGGAATGAAAATTCCCTGACCCTTCTTGCCACCTCTTTCCATTAGAGTTCTGTTTGCAGCCTCAGTTACATTAGAATTTGTGTGCTGAAGTGTTTCAGATCTCTGCAGTTGATCTTAATTCCTGATCATGTTACTAAACTCTTAATAGTTTAATGGAGAGGCACCTACAGTGTTCTACTAAGCTGACACAAATAACATTGTACAAACTAACGTCATTTATAGGTGTAGCTCTACGGCAGACACTCATACTTTTTGGCTAAAGAGGGCTGTCAGTATTAAACAGCACAGATGGGTGTAATTCTGTATAGAATTTGATAGAATTGTTAGTTTTCAGTTTGATGTGACTAAGTGATCGAATTGGTAGTGAATGAAATCACAGTACACAAAGAGATGTACAAAAACAATGAGTTTATAGTTTTTATTTTTCTAGAATCTGTAACCAAATTTGATACTACTAATGACTGTAGTCATTAGGACATCAGCAATTAATTTTAGGATATGACTTTTAAAAAATCACTCATTGGCTCTTTTTTTTTTCTCTTCAGGGTTCTTCTAAAACACTTTTTTTCTGTTTCCTTTAGATATACCCATTGTATAAAATGTTCTCAGATACGTTTAATTTCATTTGAATAAAACACAAGCACAATATTGAAAGATTAAAATTGTCTGAAATTATGAACTCACTTTGCACATACATTTTCTTAAATGGAGATGGCTCTCTTTGCCAAGAAGCAGAGTGATAGGAAGGATGAGGATGCTACTGACAATCGCAAGCCTCCTGCTTAGAATTTGAACTATGAACTACGTGCAACTTCCCTTACGACACATATTCTTCCTCTGAAGAAAGAAGATAATGTTATAAAGCAGTTTTGAAATGGGAAATATCACTGAAAATTCATTTACTACTGTATCTTTGTAGAAAGCTTATTTTTTCTGTTCAAAAGTAGAGATTTTCTTCCTGAAAGCAATTTTATGTACACTGAAAATTATTCCATTCAGCTGTCAGCAAAGAGGCTGTAGAAGAGTTGACAGATGTCCTGCCCATCTGTCCCAAAGAATAATGAAAAAAAAAAATTACAATGATTTAGTCCAATTTTAAATTTTAGAAGGCATCCAGCTCATGATGGGAAAACAGGGCTCACTGTAAAATTGTTTGTCATGCAATAAATATTTTGTTACCATTAACGGTTATATTAATCCTATCTGTTGTAAAGATACAAGTAGTTACTGAAATGAGGACACAAACAGTATCTCCATATGTCAGGGCTTCTGTATCCTTTCTAAGTGGACTGATTAAATGACTACAGTGCATTACTGCAATCAGCTGTCAGCAATCCCTGCCTTAAATAACTTGTTTTATATGTATCATGCATTTGTACTTTTTTTCCGCCGGAAAACTTGATTCTCAGTAGTTTTTAGCTGCTAAGACTCCATCCTTTCAACTAAATGTTACGTTTACTTTGGCATTATACTTACCCAGCATTGAGAAAAATACTCCTGAACAGTATATAGTTTGGAGTTCTGATGTAAAGAAACTAATTAGGATGCATCTTATACCCAGAGTTTGATTTTATGCTAAGTGAACAGTGGGCAGAGCTGTCATCTTACCTTCCTATTTCTTAGATGTAACACATTGGTCCCATTTAATCTTTTAATAGACTACAAACAACCCAGAAAAAGAAGTAGTCATTGCTTCTGTTTACTCTTATTTATGTTTGGAAACAAATCACACACCTCCACAATACCTCAGTTAGTGAATCACATATAAGGCTTTTGGGTAGACCATACATTACACTTTCCATGACTATTAGTTATCTCTATTTGTATTTCATTCAAAGAAAAGAATGTCCTTATAAATGAGAACACAAAAGAGACTAGTGAGCTGTGGCTGTGTCATAAGATGTGTTAAGAGAGGGGCATTTAGGGAAGAAAATACTAATCCCACGGTACAAAGCATTAAGAAACTGCATTTTGCAATATTGTGTATGATTCTGATCACACATGTTTAAGAAAAAACAATGTGAACGGTAACGGGGTAAGGCAAGGTTAACTAGGATGATTAAAACAGGGCAGGTATATTGAGATTAACATGAATTAAAGAAGAAATACAATTCTTTATAAAGACACTGGGGGTAAACACCAAGGAGGAAAAGATGATACTGAATAAAGGTTAAAATATATATATATATATATATATATATATATGTATATATGAGAATAACTTTAGACTGCAAAATAGAGGTGAAACACTGAAAACACTTCCCAAAGGGACAGCTGAGACAAAACCAAATTCCGCATTTCTCTTAAAACAAAAAACCACTGCCCCGTTTTATGTGATTGAATCTGACTGAAGCCCTTTTCATTTCTACATCCTTACGTGATTTGTACGTATGTTGGTCATGTGTGGCAGCGTTACTGACAGCACTATTTGAAAGATTGTCTGAGCAAATGATTTATCAGATACTTCCAGTGAGGAACCCTCAAAATGGAAAAGCAGAGAGAATTATGATCTGTGCTTCAGGAAGCCTCATTGCAGGGCAGAAACCTGTAACTGATTTGATCAGAGGGTTACTTAAGAGAAAAGTAGCTGTCAAAGTGACTCCTTAAGCAAAACAGAGCAAGAAAAGGAAAGCTAAGGGAAGTGCATTTGGAAAGATGAAAGAACATCGTAGCTGAGGCAGGAAATGCAACTGGTGAAGTAAACAAATTAGCGACTTCAAAGAACTGAAAAAATTATAGACGACGAGAATAAAGAATCTGAGCACTTTGAACTGAAAGGAGCTGAACCTGCAGCGTGCCCCAAAGCATGTCATCTCCAGGGTCCCAGGATGCTTAACCAAAGTATTGGTGAAGCCTTGCGAATGGACACTCTACATCACTGCCGCAGGGTCTGCCCAGTTACACGTCTGCTTGATAAAGCTCAGCTGAGAAGGACAGACTTCAGTTCCTGACTCCACAGCTGCTTCTAATACTGACTTGGCATTCTGCAAAGGGGAAAATGGAGTACAAGCTCCTGAAACTCAATCAGAATTCAACCACATAGTGGGATACAATGTGCTGAGTACTGAAGTTACACAATAACTCAAAGATTTAAGTTTGCAAAATGAAACGTAAAGTTACATCAAAGCTGAGTTTATTTATGACAAATCATTCATTATATATTACAGTAATTACAAACTTCTTTCTTACACCTTATTGCCATATTTTTGTTCTCGGCACACAGATCATCAAGAACATGTATTTAAGCAGTAACAAAAAAATATTAAAATTACAAATTTCACATCTCATTTCTGTGCCATAGAAAAGGCTATCATCAAAAGAGTAAAGTTACTAACAAACATACAAGGGGATTCCCCTTACACCTTTTTTCCCAGGAACTTTTGTCATCTAATGTATAGTAAATATATGTGTATACACAGGCATCTCTTGCAAACATACGCATTCACACATTTACATAATCATTGGAAATCTGACATCTCTTCTCCAGCAGAAAGCACCCAGTCATTTTAATTGACCATCTAATGGGAAAAAAATTTCTGAAGTCCATGGTTTTAAATTAGTCGCCCTATTTCTGAGCCAGCTGTTTTCTTCTCCCTATACACAGGGCTGCCAGCTTAACAAAAGGATATTGCAGTTTGTGGCAAACAGCATCCAACCTACCTTCACCACAGGAAAGGTCTACTAGGGATACTGTCCCTCTTGTACCTAGTCTGAGTCACTGCTGCTGCTCGAGGAGTCTGTTGACATAACTTCTACATCATCTTCATTCTCTTTATTGTGTCCTGGAGGCTCCAACATGAAGTCATTACTATGATTAGGAGGTAGCATGTTCATTGACATATCACTTGACTGCCAAGGATACTGAGGAGCGAGCACATCTGGAAAAAAGGGGCATAAACAATCAATCGGCTTTGTATATTGACAAATTCAACAAGACAGCTCAAACAGAACTCTAATTTAAAAATAAAACAAATCTTAAAATCCTTCCTGAATTTTGGAGAGATGAAACCCTCCAGTAACAGCTGGAAAACATCTCATGATGGAGCCATTCTTTCACTGTAAAAGCCTGCTCTGCCAGAGGCCCATTTATGTAGGTGGCTCTTGATCTCTCATTGCTCCACTTCGAAACAGTATATATTCATACAGAGCTCTTCACCTTCAAAGCACAGTTTGAACTGACTTAACATTCACAACCACTGGCACTAATGAAAATGGTCACCCTCTGTCAGTATGCAAAAATAGATGAAAACATTAGATCAAAGAAATACTTAAGGCAGACCACAAAAATTCAGAGTAAAATGTTTTATCCAAATTTGGCTGAAACACCTCAGTTGTCGTTTTTCCAACAGCAAACACGGTGCATCAAGTGCAAAGGAGAAGAGTGCCCTACTACAAAACCAGGGCCACAGAGATTCCCCCTTGAGAGGTAGGAATGCTCCACTGAGCCCCAGCCAAGCCAGCCTCAGTTGCCTCTGACTTCTCTCAGCTCTTGCTGTTTCTTCTCTTCTCCTACTTTCAAAGCCATCCCATCCTGTACTCCCTGTCAACCTACCCTCCCCCCACATTTCCTAGTCTCTCCCTTCCTTGCCCCCAAAATGGCTCCCATTTCAAAGCTGCAGTACACATCTATATGCCATTTCTGCTCCCTTCCTTTTCATTTATGCTCCTACTGCTGTGCTTCAGTTCTCCACTTATTACCTGGCACTGCAGCTAAGTCTATCCCATAGAAAAAACCAGCTATCTCCCACTTACAGTGAGAATTAAAAATAATTAGGCAGAGTTAGAAGTGAACAAAAGCCCATCCACATGGGACTTCAAGTACAAAAAGAGATGGCACTGCCTAAGCAGGGGGTCATATATGCTAGACTTACTCTCACTCAGGTGCTGCCTAACTCAGAAGCACACAGACTCCACACACGTAGTAGTTTCTGATCTTGAAGTCTGCAGACACCTGAGATTCCACATATGAACTACAGCCACAGTCCCCTAATACCAGGTGCATTACCTAGCTGTACAAATCTGACCCACCAGCAGATGCGAGGAGGTAATGCAGCCTTTATGCCAGTTCTGTGCCTAGTTAAGGAAGACCAAGAAGACTACCAGGTGGTCTCATCCCAGCTGTGGTGAAGTTAACCACCTTCATTTGAACCAGCTGAGAATGTAAGCCAGTGTTTTACGTCCTGTGGCCATGCTTCAATGCTGGAACCAGTTCACTATTAAACCAGGTTGAATGTGTGTGCTAAGCAGCCTCAAAGTTTTGAGGCTACCAAGCAGCCCCGTGGCTGGCTTGCAGACTCAATAAGGACTCAGTGACTGGACATCTTGCTGCAGAAGTCTCTAAAAGGACTAGATCCCATAATTAGCATTCTCAGGACATGTCACATGCTTCCATACACCAGCAGATTCAGGATTCCTATACAAAATGCCAGGGGAGCCTCTACTTTCTTTTAAATTAAGTTTTCATGTTTCCCTCTTACCTAATAGTCTAGTAATTAGAGGATTTCCCCAACATAGGAGACCCAGATGCAATTAACAACTTTACTTGAGGAGTTCAAATCCCTCCTTTTCCAGCTTCTCTAGGAAAAGTCCTGAAGGATGGGCTTTCAGTTCTCACAGAGACAGAACTCAAAAGTAAAAGGGGCAAGCCTGCATTCCCTAAGGCAGAGGAGCCAGCCAGAATGGGCTCTACCAAAACTTATGCAAATGCTCAAACTCCATGAGGAAGACACAACCTTAACATCTCCTCTGACTGTATTCCAGGAGAACAGAAAAGATACATGGGCCCATCCTCAGCATTTCCCTGGTGGATTGCTATGGACAGATGTCAGGGTTCCACTCCTATTCAGCTCACTGACCCATTTTATCCAAGGCCAGAGGCTTAGAAAGTGAGATGATTCAAAACTTCAAGTCACTTCCTAAGAGGTGACAATAGACAGATGATCAGAAACACAAAATCCAAGCTTACTACTTCTCCAATGGAGTTGCGATACAGGGTTTTTTTTAATATATTCAGTATAATTTTTGAAAACAAGCTTTCCGTAACACCTGCCAGTGGCTTACCAGACAGGTAAGAACCGTTACAGATCTCCTATGAATCCAAAATTAGAATTCTTCCACAATTTAGTCTAACCACGGTAGAGTAATGCACAGGTACAGGACCACTGAATTCTTGATTCAGTTACTGTAACTTACTGCTAAATTCTATTTTAGCATGAATGAATGAATCCCACTAAGTCCATGGAAGTACCCATTTCACTAAGCAATTAAGGGACTAAAGCTCGATTCCTACACTCAAGGTACTACCTCACCAGTTGTCCTTTGCAATGTCTTTTCAATCCAGAACTTCTAAGCAAACGGTCTTGCTATATAGAGTGTAGACTTAAAAGGAAGATAGGGGATGACAATAAACCTCTTTTCTTCCAAATACAGCTTTCACAATTCCGTACTTTGTCATCACTGCTAAGAAAAGGTTGCTTTGAAAATGCTTCTTTCTAATATGATTTGATAGCGCTTAATTTACACCAATTTAAAAACAAGTGAATTGAAGGGTAACTAAGTGAGATTTGTTTGTATTGACTTAGTTGTAGTGTCTGCAATATGATTTAATATGAAATAAAATAAAATTATGCAATTTCTAATTGTTAACTTTATTTACTAGATCTTCACTGCTAGGGAACAACGTTAGCGATAATTTTCATTATTTTAACTCTGATTTGCTTTTGCTAAGGGAAATGTATAATTGCTATGGCTGTACAAGGAATAAAGAAAAGCAAACCACAACTGAGTTTCTCTTACCTGGCAACCTGCCTGCTGCAAGTGCATCCCCTGGTAAGTGTCCATTAACTCCATTGGTGGATGGGTTGTTCATCTGACCCAAGAGACCACTTCTCATTTCCAGATCTGTAGGATATGGCCTACGTGGGTCCCCTTTATGAAGAAAAGCAAAGGAATGTTTTTAAATATTTAACAATTGTTGTGCAGACATTAACTTTTTCTTTAGTACCCAGTTTCCTGACCAAAAATAAACCCATACTCTGATTGCATGGATCAGCAATGAGCATCACACCCATTTTGTTAAAATCCAAGTCTGTGTCTTTCACTTAGACTTTCTTTGTTCATTCAAACTTGGCAGAAAAAGCACATTAAAAAAAACCAAAATAAACAAAAAACTCTCCATGTTTAGGAGGTATCTTTCCTCTCCCTGCTACTTCACAGCCAAACAGCAAGGACAGGAATTGGAAAAAACACATTCTCATTTTGGACAAAGATGATAGTTCCCAAAATTGAAACCTGACATAATAAGAGCCCTGCTTCTGACTCCACTGATTACTAACATCCTCTGAAAAGAGTATTTTAAGGGTCACGAGGGAACACAGCCAAGCAGATGGAAAAGCCTTTAACATACCTGGTTCTAACTTATAATTGGGGCCAACATTCAGGGGAAAAAAAGAACACAAAGGAGAGCATAGGAGGCCAGTCAGTTAATGGAAGCATGCAGTTTCATAGCCTTTTGAAGACGTACATAAAGTCTACAGGACTTTGGATATACATTTTTGTTGAAAATATTAGATATAACAGCTGAAAATAATGTTACTGTAATAAACTCCAGTGTTTTTCACTGTATAAAAGCATTGCAAGACCAGATACTGACCATGCTTTATTGTAAAAAGAAAAAAAAAAAAAACCACAAAAAACCAACAAAACACTGTTGTCATAAACATGATAGTTACCTGGCACCCATGTCAGAGGGGCACAAACAGCATTGCTAGCACTGATCCTATGGGCATATTTAATTATTTCTTCAGAGGAAATGGCACCTGGAAGAATGGAAGAAAAGTTACTATATCCTCAAGAGATTGCATCATTCAATTATTTCAGAATATTGGACACTAATATCTAAAAGATTTGGAATGTAATTTTTTCAAACATTAAGAGCATGCTTCAAATGTAGTGACTGCTTAGAGGATTCTTAGACTATGCAAGGACAAGCTTTGCAGTGACCTGATTTTATAGCCACGAGTTCAGTACACTTTCAAGGTCAACAGTTCTTCAATCTTGTGAAAAACACAAACCAATCTCTTAAGCAGCGTACTTGACAAGCACAATTTGTAAGAAAACTTCAGCACCTGCTTTATTATGGAATTTTCTGTAGTAAAGAATTTTTTTGTTTAGTAATTGTAGAGCATACATGTAGCAGCCCATCTAAATCTGTGCCTGTATTACAGTAATAGAAACTTTACGAAATTCCTTCATTTTTTTAGATGAAAGAAGTTTAACAAAATGATGAAAGACACTGTAAAAAAAACACCAAGAAAATGACTCCCACAAAAAAAAAAAAAAGAGTCAGTTTAGCTTAGTAATTGCCACAGAGTGGCAGGAATTGCTACAAATAAAAAAACAGTATCACTAGCTAGTCAGTCTTTCAAATACAATGCATATGCACACAAACATTCTTCCCCTTTCCTCAGTAGACCTACTGAGGCAATTTGGTGAGACACTTAGGTAATCAGATATACTATTATCAGTCCAAATCAGTCCAAGAAGAGTGTTGAGACACTTGAATTTAAGTGTAATATTAAGATATGTTTGCCACAAAAAATAATTAATTCCTGCCTTTATTCTGAGGAAATGGCTACAGGTTCACACTGAAATGGAAATTTGTTTATACAGTTGTTTATGCATTACACACAAAATTCTACCATCTGTGATGGTAGAATTAAAAAAATAAATAAATAACCCTAATTCGAGCTCACTAGAAACTTTCTTTACAACTGCATTTATGTAGTATGTACAATCATGCATACTTACCTTTTCTTGCCTTTTCAATTGATTTCAGCTTTTCCTTTGCTTGATAAACAGCTGTTGCCTAGTTGTAAAAAACCAACAAACTAAACCAAATCTTCAATGCATCTTTAATTTGTAAACTTCTACATAAAGTCAGCTCTGTGAATAAAACTTTGCATTTAAGTGCATTTTAAGACAGAAACTATTCAGTGAACATTTTCAAAATATACAGAAATAAAGTAGGTTTGGAAGAAAATTAGCATTATAAAACAAAACTGAATACCATGATAACTAAACAGTATTTGATTACTGAAAACCCAAACCACTAAGCTCTTATGAAGTTTTAAATATTTAAATCTCCTCAAATTAACACACCACCACTTTCTCCAGAACCACCTTTTTCACAAGTAGATGCTCAAAAGCAAACACATCATTATGAACTTACCAGTATGTGCTCTGCTTCTTTTAGTTGTTTCTGCAGCTGCTGAATATCATTATCCCTCTTTTCTACTACCTTTTCTAAAAGCTGCATTTCATGATGGATTTTCCCCTGATCAACTGCCAACTTCATTAGCTCTTGAAACTCTCCATCTCTCTGAATCAGCAGTTCCAAGATCTATTGAACAAGAGTTTTGTAGAACTTTTAATTTAGCTAGAGTAACAAGACACCCTCAATTGCTCTGCAAAGAAGAGCAACTGACACCCATAGAGTATTTCCGTTTGCATGAAAAATGAAATAAAATTTCTTCCTCTATTTGCAGAAACAGCCTATGAAGCATACACAAATGAACAAACAACAAACACCACAAGGACCAAGAACGCCTTTGTAGTGGCGCCAAAAATCTCATCATCGCCGTTAGCCTGAGTATAGGCAAGGACAAAGGGAGAAAGAAAGAAAAAAAGGAAAAACTTAGAAGTAAAGCATTGTGCTTACGCAAAGAAATACAGTTTGGAAAGTCAGCTTACCTGGCTCTCCTCTCCTGGTTGTGGAAGCTTCTGGTTTCTTGAAATTGCCAAAATTTCAATTAGTTCCCTGAAAGGAAAACTCTGTGTTTGTGCAATTTTCTAGGGCACTATTTGTAAATCACATCTAAAATTGTCCAAGTACTGATACCATTACAAAAGTATTCAAGGACTTGAGTATTTTATAGTTTTCTAGTACAGTGTTAGCAGGGATTTCTCAACTGAGAGTAATTCTGTGAATAGTCTCATGATTGTAGCACGTTTTCTTCTCTGTTTTTCGAGCTCATGAAGTTCTCATGTGCATTGGTACTCATGAAACGTGCTAAGTTCCTGCCAAACTACACAAGACATAAGCAGAAGCTGAGAGAAGAAAAAGCATAATGAAACACATTCATACCCTACTTCTGCTGCCCTTTTTTGTTGCAAGAGGGCATGAAAGTTGTCTTCATTATTTTACTTGTCTGCTTTTCCTCCATTTTTTCCCCAACAGAGCAAGTTTGGTTTAAAGCAATTATATCTACACTTTCAAACACCTAAAGAGTTTGTCGTGAAACTACTTTTACAACAACAAGTATTTCCACAATGGTATATTAGTTGTATACCAAACACATAAAAATACCAAAAAACTAATAATATTCTGGTGCTAGCTTAGAAGTGCTTCTCAAACAAACCTCTTGATCACGCTTCCAGGTACCCATTTACTTTGTCAGCCATCAAGAACCTCAGAGGGGACTCGCTAAGCAACAAGACTACAATGCAAAAAGGTATTTTCTGTACATTCAGCAAACTTATTTGGCCTCTAAGGCTGTGGATGTATGCTATGCATGAGTAACTGGCTGTCTAACTGAAGGCACTGTCCTTGGAACAGTACTGATCCTTCGGTCCAGTGCAAGCAGCTCAGCTGGATGTACGACTAATACAGCAGTACAGCCAGAACCTTAAAATGAAAACAAGTACTTTTCAAAATGTCTGAAAAAGCCTCTCACCAGTAAAGCTCTAAATAGTATCTTGGACTATGTCTCTCAGTCAATCCTGAACACTAAAATGATTTCAAACAATTAGAAAATAAAGAAACTTGTCATTATCACTAAAGCTTTATTCCTCCTGACCAACACTGACCAGTAGCAAATAAAATCTGTTGTAAGTAGGTCAACTACTGCCATCAAGGCTGACGTCATGGATGGCTGTGTTAGCTGGATAATGCACAGATGCAGATTCAAAACTATACAAAGGCTACAGATTAGATATGTTGCTTAATTCTTGCCGCTACCACCAAACCAGTATCATGACTGTGAAAGGCCTAACTCCACGGTGCTGCAATGCTTTGCTGATCAACAGGAAGATTCACTAAATGGTGCTGAGGGTTGCTCTGGATTCATTATGGTAGAACATTAGTCCCAAGATTTAAAAAGAAAAAAAAAATTAGGTAAAGAGCGAGTCTTTTTTTTTTTTCCTCCTTAAAAACACGTTTTCCAGCAACCCATATGTCACAATAAAATCTAAAACTGAAAATAAAACCTAACTAGAAACAACAAGAGCAACTGACCAATATATTTTCCTTGTCCTGCCACCAGCCACATAGATAGCATGGGTTATTCCCTCCAAAAAAGTTTTCCTAAGCTCCTGCTTTCCTCAAGAGGAGGCAAATGGATTAGGAAGCAGTTTAACTGCACTGCCAGCTGTGCCTCCACAACATGGTGAACAACTTGGATGAGGGTTATCGGTTCAGGCTCAAGAGCATGGACGAAGTATCCGAGCATGTATATCACTCCAAAGACGAGCTCTGCAGCCTACTTTGAGTTTTACACTAATACAGGCAATGACCACAATGGCTTAAGTCATGCAACACCACCTAGAAATTTCTGACTTGAGCATAATTTTTAGTGACTAATGAAAAGCCTAAAATCGGGGACGGTTAGGGGGCGGGGGGTGGTGTGGAGGCCGGGGGGTGCATTTCACAGGAAATGCAGGTGTCAACCAAGAAAGAAAAGCAAGGGGAAGAATAAGGAAGCTCTCCTGCTGTGAAAATGGGAAAT